AGGTAAAATTGAAGAATAGTCAAATACACTAAGACCACAAATAATCGCCTGGCCGGTGTGGCTCAGTGGTTGAGTGTCAACCTATGAACCAGTATGCCAGGGTTCAATTCCTGGTCAGGGCACATGGTTTTGGACTCAATCCCCCAGTGGGAAGTGAGTGGGAGGTGGCCGATCAATGATTTTCTCTTCACTGATGTAATAATCTGAACAATAATGATTTATTAAAAAAAAGGTAAAATTGAAGAATAGTCAAATACATTAAGACCACAAATAATCGCCTGGCCGGTGTGGCTCAGTGGTTGAGTGTCAACCTATGAACCAGTATGCCAGGGTTCAATTCCTGGTCAGGGCACATGGTTTTGGACTCAATCCCCCAGTGGGAAGTGAGTGGGAGGTGGCCGATCAATGATTTTCTCTCATCACTGATGTTTCTATCTCTCCCTTCCTCTCTGAAGTCAATAAAAATATATATTAAAAAAAAAGAGCACAAAAAAAGTCAAACCCACCTTATATATTACTTAATATATATGAATAAATTGAAATTTTGGTATCTGTGTCTTGCCTAATGGGTTGGCAAAACAGAGCTAGATCACTTCCAGAAAAACAATAAAATTTTTGAGCCAATAAAATTGAGGGATAGAACCAAGACTGTGATGACTTAGCCAAGGCACTATTTCTACAAGACTATATAGATTCAAGTAACCAGCTGGCCTCTCATACCCACCCTAACCACATAACCTCTAACTAAGTAAGAACTAAATAGTTACTGAACAAAATGTTTCATTAAAGCACAGAAACAATTTAAAATGCTTACCTCTAAGTCATTGAAAAATAGGTGTGTATCAGCCACTTCAAAAATCATTTCTTCCATAGTTAAACCTGAGCCAATCACTACTGTTGGGTCCTGTAATACAATAAGAGAAAAACTGCTTGACTTGATACTCACAGATCTGGTTCTGATCCTTAAATATTTAAAAATTATTTGGGTCAAGCAGAACAACACAGACCCACAATATTGCTTCCAACTATTACTGAGGCAATTTCATTCAGTTTTAAGAATCTGGAATTGTGAAAAGTTAAAAATTTCAAGACTTTAGTTTCTAGAAGACCAAACCCACTTAAAAACTCAATGCCCTGTAGGGGACATGCAGGAGGTAGCCAATCTATGTGTTGCTCTCACATAGATGTTTCCCTCTCCCTCTCCTTTCATCTCTCTCTAAAACTCAATAAAAATATTAAAAAAAACACACAACACTTGAATTTTTGGGGGGGAAAATTCTGTTTCAGGAGAAACTCTATTGCTAAAATACTAATATTGTAACACCCATTATCTTCCCTACAGACACACACACAGAGTATAATACCAGAAATCAGCTATCTGACAATCTCAACAAACAGGAAATAAGTAAACAAAGACGAAAGAGTCATAATATTTGCAGGAAAAGCAATGCACTTAGCTTACCCTCATCTTCAACCCCCAATGCACTTAGTTTTAAAATGAACAACCAGGTCTGCATTTAGAGGGTGTATGCTCTTATTTTATTTATTTATTTATGTTATAAACAGCCTAGTTATGGTATTTAGCGTAGGAGCTTGCCAGTCTATATACTAAAAGTCTGTGGAAATTATTCCTAACACAAACATTTGTGACAATAAGGATTATATGGGAATAGTAAGAGAGCAAAAGAGGCAGGTATTTTTATAAAATGTATTTATAATACAGAAAAATAGGAGCCTGAAGGTAGTTTAGTGTAGATATATATAGGCAATAGCTCAAGAACAGCTCATCCCTCTATGAAAACTGATGTTTAGATCAATGACAAAACAAGTTAAATTCTGTTTGGTATATTTAATTTAAGAAGGTAAGTAATCTCTTTTAGAAAGATACTTTATATGTTATCTGTAATTTGAACTAGGTAAATGAAATGTACAGTTTAGGTTGTTAAAAGAAACTTAAGGGAGAATAGATTGGTCTTTGGAATATATAATCCCGAGGCTCCACTCTGTTTTGAGCATCATTCCCATACTTCATTTATACAAAATGCCACTCTCAAAGAACTTCAGCTTTTACCACTTACCTCAGGTCTAGTCTCTAGCTTTATTATCAACTCTGACTGACCATGCAGCCTGCCTGGTAAAAGCTACTAGGTGAAATTTAACATGGAAAGGCCCAGGGTAAGGTGGAGGTAGCAGAGAAAGTGATTTTGGTTACCTGCTCTTATAGCAGAAAAGGGATGGTTACAACAAAGGAAGAAAGACTCAAGTTACCTTTCCATACTTCTGGGCATAGGATCCAGTAAGAAGGGAGTGAAAGATGATGATAGTTTCATCCAAGTCCCACAGAAATACCCGCTGAGGGAGGAAAATATGAAAAATAATGAGTAAACATCTTTTCTAATCACAATGGGATAAAGCAAGAAATTAATGGAAAACTGGAAAATTCACAAATACGTGAAAATTAAACAACACAATTTTAAATAATCAAGGATGGAAGAGGAAATCACAAGTAAAATTAGAAAATACCTTGAAATGAATGAAAATAAAAACGCAACAACAAAAAAATTTGTAGTATGCAGCAAAAGCAGTGCTAAAAAGGAGATTTACAGCTGTAAATGCATAACTTAAAAAAGATCTCAATTATTAAATAACCTAACTGTACAATTTAAAAAACTAGAAAAAGCCAGCAGAAGGAAGGAAATAATAAAAGTTAGAATGGAGATAAATAAAGCATAGAATAGAAAAATAATCAAGGAAAATCAACAAAACTAAAAGCCAGTTCTTTAAAAAGATCTATAAGCCCTAGCTAGTTTGGCTCCGTGGATAGAGCGTCAGCCTGCAGACTGGAGTCCCAGGTTCAATTCCCGTCAAGGGCACATGCCCCCTAGTGGGGAGCATGCAGGAGGCAGCCAATCAATGATTCATCATTGATGTTTCTCTCTCTCCCTCCCTCTCCCTCCCTCTCCCTTCCTCTCTGAAATCAATCAAACTATATTGTAAAAAATAAAAATCTATAAAATTGACAACTTTTTAGACTAAGAAAAAGAAAACTCAAATGACTAAAATCAGAAATGAACATTATTACTAATTTTAGACTTTAGAAATAAAAAGATTTTAAGAGAACACTATGGACAGCTGTACACCAACAAATAACCTAGATGAAATGAACAAATTTCTAAAAAACACAAAGTGCCAAATGACTCAAGAAGAAATAGAAATTCTGAATAGACCTTTAACTGGTAAGATGATTGGATCAGTAATCAAAAACATCCCAAGAAGAAAAGCCTAGGACAAGATGGCTACCCTGGTAAATTCTACCAAACATTTAAAGAAGTCGTCTTAAGCTATTCCAAAAAGTTGAAGAAGAGGGAACATTTCTTAACTCACTCTATGAAGCCAACATTACCCTGATACCATCAAGAGAGTAAAAAGACAATCCACAGAATGGGAGAAAATATTTGTATATCATATATCTGACAAAGGATTAATATCTAGAATATATAAAAAATTCCTAAAACTCAATAAAAAACAAATTTAAAACTCAGTTTAAAAATGAGTAAGTACCCTGGCTGGGTGGCTCAGTTGGTTGGCGTGTCATCAAATACAGAAAAAAGGTTGTGGATTTGATTCCTAGTCAGGGGACCTACAGGAGACAACTAATCGAGGATTTTCATTTTCTCTCTTTTCTTTCTTCTCTCTCTTCTCTCTCTCTCTCTCTCTCTCTCTCGTTCTCTCTCCCCCCCTCCCCCTCTAAAATCAATGAACAGCCTGGCTGGTGTGGCTCTGTGGTTGATCATCGACCTATGAATCAGGAGATCAGGATTCAATTCCCAGTCAGGGCATATGCCTGGGTTGCAGGCTCTATTCCTTGTATGGGATGTCCAGAAGGCAGCTGATTAATGATTCTCTCTCTCATCACCGATGTTTTTATCTCTCTTTCTTCCTCTCTGAAATTAATAAATATATATGAAAAAAAAAATAAAATCAATGAACATATCCTCAGGAATAAGAAAAAAGGGGCAAGGAATTTGAATAGACATTTCTCTAAAGAAAATAAACAAATGGCTAATAAACACATGAAAAGATGTTCAACATTATTTGTCATTAAGGAAATGCAAATCAAAACCACAATGAGAGCCAAAACCGGTTTGGCTCAGTGGATAGAGCGTCGGTCTGCGGACTGAAAGGTCCCAGGTTCGATTCTGATCAAGGGCATGTACCTGCATTGTGGGCACATCCCCAGTAGGGGGTGTGCAGGAGGCAGCTGATGGATGTTTCTCTCTCATCGCTGTTTCTAACTCTCTATCTCTCTCCCTTCCTCTCTGTAAAAAATCAATAAAATATAAAAAAACCCACAATGAGATACCACTTCACATCTATTAGGATGCCTATTATCAAAAATATGGGTGAGGATGTAGAGAAACTGAATCCTCATGCATGCTGATGGGAATGTTAGATGGTATAGCCACTATTGAAAACATTTTGGTGGTTCCTCAAAAAGTTGAACATAGAATTACCATATCATCTAGCAATTCTACTCCTAGGTTTACCCAAAATCACTGAAAAGAGGTACTCAGAGATACTGGTATAGCATTGTTCATAGAAGCACTATTTAGCAGCTCTAAGGTGAAAGAACCCCAGGTGTCCATCAACAGGATGTATAAACAAAATGCAGTATATACATAATACTACAATGAAATAGTATTCAGCCATAAAAAGGAACAAAGTTCTTATGCTTATTACAAAATGAATGGACCTTGAAAAAAAGTCTGTCATAAAAGGATAGATATTATGCTATTTTTTTGAGATATCTAAAACAGGCAAATTCAAAAAGACAGGAAGTAGAACAGAGGTTACTAGGGGCTAGTGGAGAGAGAAAAGGGAGTTACTGCTTAATGGGTACAAAGTTTTTGTGTAGTAGGATCGTGGAAATAAATAGTGGCAACAATTAAATAAGTTTGTGAAAACATTTAATACCACTGAATCACACTTAGAAATAGTAAATACTATATTAAGTATATTTTACCACAATTTTCAAAAATGAGCTCTCTCTCTGTTTTTCCCAAGAACCATATTAGGACTTTAGATTTTCTTTCTTTCTCTTTCTTTTCTTTCTCTTCCTTCCTTTCTCCCTCCCTCCCTCCCTCCTTCCTTCCCTCCCTTCCTTCCTTCCTTTTCTTTCCCCAAGAATAAAGGGGAAGAGAGGCTCCAAAAACAGCTTCAATTTACCTATGTCTTCAGAACACCTATCAATGGACTCATTTTTAAAGACAGCTTTTCCCCTTATTAAAGAATTCTATTATAGAAAAATTGAAAAACAAAACGATTAATATCAAAACTTCACTCTTATTAATAGTTTGTATGACTTTCTAGTCTTTTTATAATAATGAAGCCAAATGTATCCTCATAGTAAACTCTTATCCCGATAGTAAACTCTTATAGTGTTTAACCACAGAGTAAATAAGTATAAATCTCATTAATAAAGTCATCAAATGGACATAAGACACTGGAGGGTAGGGGAGGCCAGGGGAATATCAAGGTGGGTGTGGGGGAAGGAGACATACGTAATGCTCTTTTAATATTTTAAGCAATAAAAAAAGAGAGATAAGTAAAAATAAATAAATAAATAAATAAAATAAAGTCATCAGATTTGGTTGCATGCTTCCCAGAAACTTTGTCTAAAGCACTCTAGTCTTGTCATTTTACTTTGAGATTTTTGAATGGCGAACGGTATGACATTACTTGTGACACCCTCTGCTTTCTGAAGACAATGCACTGTTCTTTCTGTTCTCTGGAATATAGAGAATAGGTGCTTCTTTCCCTTAAAGAGTTAATTGGTTACTTAAATTCAGAAAAGCTTTTTTGATACTTTTGGTAAAAGCATCTAAAGTAATATGGAAAGTTATGGGCATAGACAACTGTGTTTTTACATTTCTCTTATCACTTGATCAACTCAGTTTCTCTTGCCCAGGGATTAAAGGGTACACAACATAGAACCACATTATTCCATGAGATGATAGATAGATAGATAGATAGGTATTTTAATAAACTTAAGAAATGAAGAAAAAAAATAAAGTAGGTAACTCAAAGAAGTTTCTTTCCATACTTCCAATTCACTGTCCTGGGAAGAGCTAGCATCAGCCTTCCTCTTGCCCCGGTTCTTTCCAGTCATGTTTTTTCTGGACAGGTCATCAGCATCTTTACTTGGTGTAGTCTGGGACAAAGATGGGCTTGTAGAAGGGTCTCCTGAAAAGGAAAAACAAGACATTTATTGCTCTTAGTCACAGGGAGGGAAGAGGGCCAGAAGTTTTTTGTCCTTAAGAATCATATTGCAGAGATAAAGCATGAAAAACCAAACTTTAATTTGGGAATGCACAACTGGGCACTGGACATCAACAGCTCTTAACGTCATAGAGAGTTATTACTAGAATTTATACACCTGCACCCAATGAAAGAACACATCTATAACATTGTTTTGCATAACAAAGAAAAAAAATCTGAACCTGATTAAGCTTCTAGATCAGAGTTGCTCAACTTGGCACAACTGACATTTTGGGCCAGATTAATGTTTGTTGTGAGTGTGCTGTCTTGTGCATTGTAGGATGTCTGGCTAAGCAGCATCCTTGGCCGCTACACTCTAGCTGCCAGCAGCACTCCACATAGTGTGACAACCACAAAAATGTTTTTATACATTGCCAAATGTCAAAGCGGGAAGAGGGAGGCACATATTGCCTCTAGTTGAAAAAGACTGCTTTAGATCCATTTACTAATGTACAATAACATACACAAGGCAGCAGGATATGTTAAACTACCCTATAAGGCAGCGGTTCTCAACCTGTGGGTCGCGACCCCTTTGGGGCTTGAACGACCCTTTCACCGGGGTCACCTAAGACCATCGGAAAACACATATATAATTACATATTGTTTTTGTGATTAATCACTATGCTTTAATTATGTTCAATTCGTAACATGCTCTGGTTTGGGTGGGTGGGTAGATGGTGACGTCATCCACTGCGGGGGAGCAGGTTCAGGGGAAGAGATTAGGATGTGTTAGGTGTGAGGTGCCTGTGGGACACACAAGTGGAGAATTCATGAGGCAGTTGGATACATGAGTCTGGAGCTCAGAAGAGCAAATGTGAATGGAAGGTGAAGCCATGGGCATGGTTGGGAGTGCCTGGGGAGAGGGGCCAGCTAGTAAACCAGGTAAAAAACCCTAAGTCACAACATTTAAAGAAGAAAAAAATAACTCACAAATGAGGCTAAGAAAAATGGGCTAGAGAGCTAGGAAAAAAAAACAAAGGCATAGGAAGAAATGAATGAGAAATATTTTTTAGTGCTATTAAAAGGTCAAGTAAGATAAGGGTGGGGAAGGGTCAATTAGATTTAGCATCAGGGAGGTGGTAATCTTGGTGAGAAGAGTTCCAATGGAGAAATTGAAGCCAAAACCAGACTGCAGAGTAACTAAGAGGTAAGCCAACAGTCCAGCCCAATTCCTAAAAAAGACAGATTCCAACTTATCATTTGATTACAAAAAATGAAAAAAAAATTCTAATGGTCCATATGTTTTTTTTAAACATAAAAAAAAAGTAATAAAAGCACTAGAGCCCAGCAGGTATGGCTCAGTGGTTGAGATTCAACCTATGAACCAAAAGATCATGGTTTAATTCCTGGTCAGGCACATTCCCCGGGTTGTGGGCTCAATCCCGGTAGAGGGCATGCAGGAGGCAGCCAACCAATGATTCTCTCTCATCACTGATGTTTCTCTTCTCTGAAATCAATAAAAAAAAATATTTTTAAAAGTGTGTGCATATGTACATTGAATGTGTCAGGGTTTGTTTGTTTTTAACGTGGACATCATAATCCATTGAAACATTTCAAAGCTAAACGCACAGATCTAAATTTGTAGGTCAAATTTCATGTGTTTCTTTAGCTTTACTTAGAATCTTAAAGGGATTCATGACACAGAAAAGGTTAAGAACTACTGCTCTGAAGCTGAGCAGAAGTAAAAAATATTCAGACTAAAACTTTTATAAAATGTGCCATGAAGTTCCCTGTGACAATCATGTTAGAGCTATAGGAGAGGGGTGGGATGAAGTAGGAGTCATAAATACAGTCTTTTCATTCTTGGTACTTTTCTGTTTACAGCATCAGGTATTACATTCAGCCTGCCAATGACTTGTTACAGTCTGGCTTCAATGTTTATATACTCCTGAGAGGGAAAAAAAATAGCATGGCAACAGTAACTTAGACTAGAACAAAATACTTGTCACCATCACCTGTCAGATGAAGTACCCTTAAAGCCAAAGTTTTTAGAGCTGTGGTGCTTACCAGAGGAAAGTCTCTGTGCTGCAGGCGCAGGTACCATGACACTAGGCTTCTCCGTCTGGTATGTGGTTGTTGCTAATGTGGTACTCTCAGCATCATTGTTAGTTTGGCCTGTGACTCCAAAGCTGGAGCTGGGGTAGCAGGCCTGGTACTGACTCTGACCAAGGATAGTATAGGTGGGATAGTCCTGTATATCAAAGGGGTTAAGGGAGAAAAATAAGACTTTTAGATACAGCAAAACATTAATTTCAACAAAAAAAATTCTCATGCCCTTCCTATTCATAATTATTTTCCTTAAACATTAAATTGGCTGCTTCTTATATCTTCAGCTTAAAGAAATGATTTTCAAAATGAATTCTGTTAGAAACCTACGAGTCAAGAGGAGATGCCTCATGGCTGTCTGGAATGGGGGAAGGCTGAGAGGGAAAGGTCCCACGCACTCTACACATAATGTCCCTTTTTCTAAATATAATAGCTCTCTCTCTCTTCTTCCTATTTTACGTATTGAATTTCTAGATAAATATCTGCATGGAATTCTTGAAGAAAGATCTACTCTTTAAGTAGTTTATAAACCACCTGGCCAGCATGAACCAGGAGGTCACGGTTCGATTCTCCGTCAGGGCACATGCCCAGGTTGTGGTCTCTGCCCCCAGTGTGGGGCATGCAGGAGACAACCAGTCATTGATTCTCTCTCATCACTGATGTTTCTATCTCTCTCACCCTCTCCCTTCTTCTCTGAAATCAATTAAAAACAAAAAGTTTATGAACCACTGCACTAGATGGTAGTGTTTCTAAGGACAGAAGACCTAAAACAAAAAAGATCACAAATCCTACATTAAAGTTTCCCAGTTTAAAAACTTTCTAAAATAATCAATGTTTCTTTAGAATATTCAAAGGGAACTTTCGCTGGTGTCACAAGCACATACATGTCAAAACTTATCAAACTGTACAATTTAAATCTGTAAAGTTTATTTTATGTCAATTATACCTTAATAAAGCTGTTAAAAAATGGGTATGATGTATAGATCAAAAACACACCTTAAAAAATTCCATCTATACTGAAGTTGATGAGAAACAGAAAGACACTAACTGATCAGACCAATTATTTGTAAAGAATATATAAGTATCTACCCTAAGTGGGGGAGGGGTGTGTGTGCATGGGTGGGAAAAGAGATTATTACAGAGAGTAAGTCATACTAGCTGTACTCAAGGGAGTTAAAAATTCAACAGGAGCTAAGAAAAAAAAACACAGTTCCAACAAATTAGCAATAAATTATATGTCAAATGAGTGAAACACAGAGGAAGACAAGTATCACAGAAGATTGTGGTTAGAGTGTACTGGGATAAGTAGGCAGAGGGAATAAATACAAGAATAGGCTCTGAAAAGATTTTATTAAGGAGCCAGAGATGTTCAGTCTGGTTGAAAGGATCTTTTTAGGCTTGAATGGCTGGTTAAGGAATATGACTTGGATTGTGTCCAGTAGTTCTCAACCTTGGCTGCACATTCGAATCACCTGGGAATCTTTTCAAAATCCTGATTTCTGTGCCTCATCCTCCAAAAATTCTGTTTCTTTGTTATGGGGTTAGGCCACAACATTAGTAACAAAGAAACAGAATTTCCGGAGGATGAGTCCCAGAAATCAGGATTTTAAAAAGATTCCCAGGTGATTCTAACGTACAGCCAAGGTTGAGAATCACTGGTTTAGACAATGGTGATTCGCTTATTCGGGGGCAGGAAATGGGGATTATCAAATTCAAACCAACAAGTAAACAGACAGAAAGATAATGAGCAGATGAGTGTAGGATAAAAAGTGACATTTAGAGAAAAGTAATCAGATGGTGTTTAGAAAGTGGACAACACGGCAAAAAATGAGAGATGAATAGTTAAATACAGTAATTCAGGATTAAGGGGCTAGAGGACAAAACATGGGAAATGATAGCAAAAGTGAAAAAAAAAATTTTAGAAAAGGCTGGATTAGGGATAAGTGAGGAAAAAATATTGTTGACTGGTCTAGGCCTAGGTTTATTAAAAAATGGTCTCATTAACAAGAATTGAGAAGTCCTAGAGAAAAGTGGTCTTACTGTTGGAGAACAAGGTGACAGAAGAAAGGGAAGAATGAAAGATTGTTTTTAGATATGGTAAACTTAAGGAAATAACAGGACATTAAAAAAAAAGTCCACCAATAAGAAGAAAGCCTGTAGCTAAGATTATGACTAGAATCTTTATTTCAGAGGTAGTAAATGGATATTGTGAATGTAGTTAAACATTCCTGGGGATGGAAAACTAAATACAGACTGTCCCTGATACAAAAAAAGCTAAGAAAGGAAGAGAGATAGATGTACCCTGAAGAGTGCCAGGTACATCTTATCCCTAATAGGAGGAACTCAATAAATATTTGTGGATTAAAAGATGAACAAATGCAGAAACAAACATAAAAAAATGAACTAGAATAGTAGTATGTTAAACGCAGCCAGAAAAAAAGATGGACACAGTGGTTGATAATATTAATTGCTGCAGAGAAACAACAAATAAAAACATAACAATAAAGGCACCAGTGATCCAAGATAAAATGTTAATAGAACAATGATACAGATCAGACCACAGCCCTGGCCAGTTTTTCTCAGTGGTTTGAGCATCGGCCTGTGGACCAAAGGGTTTCAGGTTCAATTCCTGGTCAAGTGCATGTACCTTGGTTGCATGTTCCCCAGCCCTGGCAGGCAACCAATGGATGTGTCTCTCTCACATTGATGTGTATCTCTCCCTCTCGCTCTCTTTCTCATCCTCTCCTCCCTCCCTTCCACTCTCTCTAGAAATAATTGGAAAAAATATCCTTGGATGAGGATTAAAAACAAACAAACAAACAAACAAAAAAACAGACCACAAAGAATTCACAAAGGAATGAGTAGCTAAATAAAAGTGGAAGCAACTTTTATTCATTCCACAAATATTTATTATGTGCCTTTAATGTGAATGCCAGGCATTTTTATGAACTCTGGAAATATGTAAGTGAACAAAATAGAGAAATCCCTACCCTCATAGAGCTTACATTCTAAAAGGGTAGGAGATAGAGAAACACAGTAGATAAAGGGAGCAGATAGAACCATATCATTGAGAGAAACTGGATGGGGCCTGAGAAACCATCCAGGGGACAAGTTCTCAGGGCTTCCAGAGAAGGGTCTTTCCATAGCACATACCGGTTGTTTTTTAGATTGGCAAATTGACAATGAAAAGAAGAGAGGACGAGCTAGCTAGATGAACCATATCAAATACGATAAACAAAAGTAGCACTGTACCTGGTTTGAGATGCTGGAAACTGCTGCTGCTGGAATATTGGCAATTGTAGATGAAGTGGGTATCAGGCTGGCATTTGTGCTTGAAGCTATAGGATTGAGAATTTTAAGAGATATTAAAGATATGTGAAAGGCTAGAAGAAATTTAAAATATACTGTATCTTAAATAGGTCTCCAAGGATATAAAGAACATTAGCAAAGGAACATTAGTTAAAGAGCAAATACTAGTTTTGCTCTTTAACATGCTATATCATAATTTAGAATTGATTAAACAGTTCAAATATTTTTCTGTTTCGACCTGGGTCTTCAACTATTCCTACTAAAGTCCTAGAACAGTGGTTCTCAACCTTCCTAATGCCGTGACACTTTAATACAGTTCCTCATGTTGTGGTGACCCCCAACCATAAAATTATTGTCATTGCTACTTCATAACTGTAATTTTGCTACTGTTATGAATTGAATGTAAATATCTGATATGCAGGATGTATTTTCATTGTTACAAATTGAACATAATTAAAGCATAGTGATTAAGCACAAAAACAATATGTAATTATATATGTGTTTTTCTATGGTCTTAGGCGACCCCTGTGAAAGGGTCATTCGACCCCCAAAGGGGTCGCTACCCACAGGTTGAGAACCGCTGTCCTAGAAGGATACATATACTGGTTCATACTAATGATACCAATAAAGTTAGAAGCTAAACCAAATGACTGTAGTCCCATCTTTTCTGGTGTTGAAAAATGACTCACCTATAACATGGCTTATTGACTATCAGTAGAAATAACAAGAGCTCTGGTAAATCCACGTGTAAATCCTACACTATAGTATTTATTGTCACTTGCCCCAAATTATGCCTTTCCTGATGCAGCATAATTACTTTGAGAGAGAGATGGTCCTCCAAATTCAAAGGTACTTGAAATTGCTTATTGGGCACTACTCAGTGAAATTATTGTGATCAACAAACACAATGGCATTTAATGATTTTCTGGAAAATATTAAGTAATATCTGGCTAGGTAAAAATGTACCCTATAAGTTAGGCTGCTTATCTTGAGATAAGGAATTTGGGTTAAGTTTTTCATGCCTTTCTATCACAGATTCCATTAGGGTTTTAATCAAATCCTCAGTGACTAGTATTTGCCACAGAAATTTTTTTCAGGCGGACAATGTAACTGAGGTCGAGGCAATGGTCCTTAGTTCCTCTCACTTATCATAAGCACACGTAAGCCTGGTTCCCATTGCAGTCACAAACACCCTAGAGTTCAATATCATAGAGTCAATAAACCTGACTATCTGACTACCTACCCCATTAGCAACAAAGTCCTCTACAGGGAAAGTTAATAGGAAAATTTCCATTAAGAATAGGGCAAGTAAAGAAATGCAGCAGAATGTCTAAGTACTGGTCAAAATCAAAGGAAAATTTTTAAAAAATATATTTTATTGATTTTTTACAGAGAGGAAGGGAGAGAGATAGAGAGCTAGAAACATCGACGAGAGAGAAACATCGATCAGCCGCCTCCCGCACATCCCTCACTGGGGACGTGCCCGCAACCCAGGCACATGCCCCCTGACCGGAATCGAACCCGGGACCCCTCAGTCCGCAGGCCGACGCTCCATCCACTGAGCCAAACCGGTTTCGGCCAAAGGAAATTTTTTATTCCTTTCCTTAAAGAAACTCTGCTTAGAAGAAAGTCTAGAAGAGATTAAGGTAAATATAAGGAACAGCTAATGCTGCAATGCCTGCTTTCATATGAAGAACCAGGACAAAGAAGAGTTAAAGTAATTTGTCCACAGTCATGGAGCTAGTGGTAGATATTAAGAGGATAAAAATGGGATCTCCCAATTCTTTGTCAGTTGCAGATTTATAAACAAAAGCAGGAGTAATAAGATATGCAATAAAAGGTACAAATTTAGAGGATCAAGCAAAACTCAAGTGGTAACTCATATTAATATATATCTAAAGGCTATTAGCTCTCCAAATGCCAATGGCATAGCCAACTGTTTTTGGATAAGTCTCCACCCCTGTTTTGACAATGGAGCTGTGAACCCACAGAAAGATAAAGCATCTGAGAACCATGCCCCAATAGAGGTCTAATTAGAGAGCTCTAATCAGAAGACTTTGATTATAGAACTGTGAGAGGCAGTGTTGAATTAAGTGACATTGCCCCAAAGCTGGAGGGTTAATGGCACATAAATGTTGCTGCAAGATTTAGTTTCTATCCACCCCTTTAATTTTATATATGTTTCTCCACCACCTTTGCTCACCCTGGCCTTTTCAAGTTACTCAAAACAAGAGAGGATCTCTACCTGGATTGTTCTCCCTGTCCCTCTCCTCCTCCCAGCATGATAGCTCCTCCTTCTCAGACTCTCTCTGACCCTTCTATTGAAACTAACTCCTTTCTTGTTTTCCCAATCATAGCAATCTATTCTTTATTCCTTCCAGAGCACTTTTCAAAAATCTATTTATTTACTTGCCTGTTTTCTATCTCCTCTACTAGTCTATAAGCTCCATGAAGGCAGAATCTTAAGATATTCATTAATTCCAATATCTAGCCAAGTGCCTGGCCTACAGTAGGTGATGCTCAGTAAGTAGTTGTGGGATTCATTTATATCTTGTATACATGTATAACTTGTAGAATTCAGGTATAGCGTGTCAAGGTCATCAAAAACAAGGAAAGTCTGAAAAACTGCATAGTCAAGAGAAACCTAAGGAGACATGACAATGAAAGGAAATGTGGTATACTGGATGAGATTCTGGAACAGAAAAAGGATATCAGGCAAAAACTAAGGAAATCTGAATAAATATGGATTTAATTAGTAATAATGCACTAATATTGGTTTATTAATTGTAACAAATGTTCCTTTCTAATGTAAGATGTTAATAATAAGGGAAACTATGTACAAGGTGGGAGGATAAATATAACTCTCTATACCATGTGCTCAACTTTTCTACAAATCTAAGACTATTCTAAAAAATAAAATATATAATAAAAACAAATCTGGTCAATGAAAGACTATTATGTATACCAACAACATCAGGGCGCAAAGACTTTCATTAAAAGTCAAGATTGAGTTAAAATTAAATTTGAAATTTCTGTAATTAATTTTGCCACTTGAATATTTATCATTTAAACCACCTCAACTGAAGAAAATAACCAGATACTGGGCCATAAACAAACAGTGTAGGAAAAAATTAATATAAAGAAGCCAGATCTACTTAATCAAAGGGTTTTCATAAACACTGAAGTATAAATAAAGGTTTTGATCAGAGCTGATGAAGTCAGAAGAGGAATTAGGTTTTTGAGATCATTTTACTAACTTCCCAAAGGAAGAAGGGCTGCTGTCAATGATAGAATGCTTTGGGTAAAAAGAGGAGATATTGTTGTTTTGACCATTAATAAAAAATTGCCCTAGCCGGTTTGGCTCAGTGGTTAGAACATCAGCTTGTGGACCAAAGGGTCCCAAGTTCAATTCGGTCAAGGGCAGGTACCTTGGTTGTGGGCTCCTCCCCGGCCCAGGCCCTGGTCAGGGCTTGTGCAGAAGGCAACCAATTGATGTGTTTCTCTCACATCGATATTTCTCTCTGTCTTCTCCTCTCTTTTCCACTCTCCCTAAAAATCAATGGAAAAATATCCTTAGGTGAGGATTAACAAACAAACAAACAAAAAATCAATACAATGCTCCTTGTTTGTATTCTGTGGAATGGCTGGGTAGTCACATAGTGAGGAGGAAGAAGCCTGGACAGCTAACACTAATTGTTCATGCTAACGGAAATGAAAAGTGGGGTGAGGAGAATGAGTGGAGAACCCAGGTCATTTAAATGTTCCAATACCCATATTTCATTTTAGCCCACTGTTCCAACTTATTTTCTTTCTTTTTTCCCCCCCCAAAATATATTTTATTGGTTTTTTACAGAAAGGAAAGGAGAGGGATAGAGAGTTAGAAACATCGATGAGAGAGAAACATTGATCAGCTGCCTCCTGCACAGCCCCCACTGGGGATGTGCCCACAACCAAGGTACATGCCCTTGACCGGAATCGAACCCGGGACCCTTCAGTCCTCAGGCAGACGCTCCATCCACTGAGCCAAACTGGTCTGGACCCAACTTATTTTCTACCATTTTTTTCCTTCAAAATAAGTGACAAAAATACCCCAATAAAGTTAATGGTAAACTACTTTTTTTTTTTAATTAAAATTTTTTTCACCCCAGCCAGTTTTCTCAGTGGTTATATCATCAGCCCACGGACTGAAGGGTACTGAGTTCAATTTTGATCAAAGGCACATATCTGGGTTGCAGGCTTGATCCCTAGCCCCAGTACGGGTGCATGTGGGAGGCAACTAATTAATGGGTCTCTCTCACATTGATGTTTCTCTCTCTCTCTCTCTCCTCTCTCTCTCTCTCTCCCCGCCTTCTTTCCTTCCACTCTAAAAAATCAATTGGAAAAATACCCTCAGGTGAGGATTAAAAAATAAAATAATTATTTTTCAATTATAGTTGACATTCAATTTGGTGAACTTCTGCCTTAATTTCTGTGCCAAAGTTCTAATGAATAATACAATGGACCAATAAGTTAACCAGAAAAAGGGATGAAAAATAAATTTAGATATCTGCCACTATAGGTTCTTAATTATGGGAGGATTGATATTGATACCATAACTTCAATATTAAATATCATATATTTTCAATCATAAATCACTCATGCTCTGTGGTCAGACTGCCCAGCTAACATCCTGACTTTATTATTGACTAACTTTGTGACCTTTGACAAGCCACTTTGCTTTTTCTGTGTCTTCTGTTCCCCTTCTTTACAATGAAATAAATAATAGTACTTCTCTCAAAGTATATTGTGAAGATTACATGATTAACACCTATCTATTGTTTAAAACAATGCTAAGAACATAGTAAGCACTTAATAAACACCAGCAATGATCATTATTAGAAAAATGTGAGGAAACCAAATTAAGCTATCAAAAGGGGGAAAATGTACTAACATATAAGTTAGGATAGTGGTTAATGGAATTTAAAGGATATTTTCATGACCTTTTATTTTTAATTATTATTTTTTTTACTGCCCTTGACCGGAATCGAACCCGGGACCCTTGAGTCCGCAGACTGACGCTCTATCCACTGAGCCAAACCGGTGAGGGCTTTTCATGACCTTTTAAAACAGCGGTTCTCAACTTGTGGGCCGCGACCCCTTTGGGGGTTGAATGACCCTTTCACAGGGGTCGCCTAAGACCATCGGAAAACACATATATAATTACATATTGTTTTTGTGATTAATCACTATGCTTTAATTATGTTCAATTTGTAACAATGAAAATACAACCTGCATATCAGATATTTACATGACGATTCATAACAGTAGCAAAATTACAGTTATGAAGTAGCAACGAAAAAAATTTTATGGTTGGGGGTCACCACCACATGAGGAACTGTATGAAAGGGTCGCGGCATTAGGAAGGTTGAGAACCACTGCAAAACAATGAGTTCCAAAGGTGGTTCCTCTTTTTTAAAAAGAGAGAGAAGTATAGCTATTAGGTTCCTCAAACTTAAGATACAACTATGGAGAAGTGGCGGTTCTACACCTTGGGAGAGGGTTAGTAATATAAAAAAAAAAGAGTATCCCCTTCTTTTCTTTCATGACCTAGGTGTAGTCCTCAGGGATATGCCCCTTTAGAGGGACTTGACAACTAGATTTACCTAATTAGACCCAAAAGGTCTACTAACCTAGAGAATACCTTATAAAAATCAACTGGGATAGATGGGAAGACAGACAAACAAAGTCATGCTCTTCGAGTTTTTTCCCTTTTGGTTTGTTCTGTTTAGAAAGAAAGAAGGGGGAAGGGACAAAGAAAGAAGAAAAAATAAATATGAAAAGAGGAGACTCGGTAAATAACAGAGGGTAAATGTAGCTCAGAGCAATGTCTTAGGACGTAATGACTGGTTCTGTTCTCAATGGACCAAGCAGAAGTAGTTCTCAGTCATTTAATTGAAAACAGTTAAAACTAACAATCAAAATATTTTGTTTGAAATAATCCACACCAAGACATTTTTCATCATCAAAGTTTACATATTAAGAGTACCTCAGACCAGTTTTTGCTGTCCCGCCCTTACCCCTTGGGCACCCATTTTATAAGGAATAAAATTTAAAAGCTGGGAGAAATCAGGAGAAAGGAGGCAGATGAGAAGCAAGGTACATGGACATTAATTCCCAATCTGAATTAATTTATCATTGATAAATTGCATGCACTGGATTTGGATGGGTTGGGAATTAATTCCATAGTGTCTTTTGAGTTTTTTTGTCCTCATTCCTAATAGTCCTATCATACTTCTAACCTTTTAGAGAAAGAATTTGGGAAGGCAGAGATGTTTAATGCTATGCTTCTCATCATGAAATAGAAACAACTTTTTGAGCAACAAAAATCAACAAAAACCTCTCACTAAGAAGTGATTGTAAATGGTATGATAAAACTACAGCAGAAAAGTGGCACACATCTCTCAAAGCAGCACTCATCTCACAATCCACTCTATTTGGACTTTATATATAAAGGTCAGTTCTAACCATAGAGTCTTCTGCTTATTTATAGGACAAAATGCCACTGAGAACAGACTGGTTTTCTGAACACCAACATGCAAAAGGAAAGCTTCAATTCTACTAAGCAGTTCACATTAAAGGGTTAAACTACTTACAAACCACACTCCTACGTTCTGGTTTGCCTAACACAAAAAGCATGCACAATGGCACATATCACCCCCCTTTTCTTTTAGAAGACAGAGCTCCTATTACATTGGAGATACAGGTAGACTAAAAACAAAAACCAACAATAATAAAACATACACACACACACAACCATGCCTATTTACCTTGAATGGGATAAGAATAATGTGCTGGGCTTGGCTGGCTTGTGGTTAACCCTGTAGTGCAGGTAAGAACACTGTGTTGACTTGGAGGTGGAGTCTGAATTAAACCACTTTCAGGTTTCATACCTGGCCACAATGCACCTGAATCAGATAAATTGGACCAATTACAAACAATACATTGGGACTGGGGAGCCTGGTTATGCTTTTAAATATCAGCCAGTAGTTTAAAATCTAAATCTTAAAAGAAAATAAATTTGCTTGTAAGAGAAAATTACTGATTCTCCCACTTACAATGTACCACAAGCAAATATAATTTCAAAGAACTAGGGAGTGGGGCCATGGAAACAAAAATCTTATCAAAACCCCAATAATTATATATAAATATTTTCATTTCATTATTGGGGGGAATTTATCAGGGTTAAAAAAAAACAGGGGCTACTGACACCCAACCAGAGTATTTGATGTAGAGTGTGTGATGTCCATGTACAGCAATAAATCATTTATCTGCATTTTCAAAGTGGGAGACATTTCACATAAGTTTAAAATTCACTTACCCATTAAAAAAGCACCAAATTTTTCTAAAATGTATTAAATACTTTTCTGCCTTCTTAAGCTGGTTATTTTGTTATCTTTGTTTCTTCTGATTAAGAAAGACACATCTGCTTATTTTTATAAATTAAAAACATTACAGAAATATGTAACTTAGAAAAAACAGTCATATGTAATCCCATCATCCAGATTTAACCACTATTAAGTTTGCAGAAGTCACTCAGGTTTCTCCTATGTACTTACTAATCTTTTTTCTTCTTTTTAATAAAAATTTAAAAGATGTTATACATACTGTTCATAATTTGCTTTTCCACATACCTTTAAGAGACATCTTTCCATGTCAGAACATATAAATTTATCTCATACTAATAAACATCATAGCTACTCATTTTTATCACAATGCTCCCGAGTGACAATCTTTCTAATATATTTATCCTAGAGGATCAGTGCACGAAATTTGTGCAATGGGAGATGAGGAGGGGGGGTCCTCAGCCCAGCCTGCGCCCTCTCACAGTCTGGGAGCCCCCAGGGGATGA